TCCATCCTTACCTTGTCCTATGGTTGGCAGAGTCTTCGATTCCCTTTCTCTGGGCTTCTCATTTGCACTTCTGCAGTGAAGGTGTACCCTAACAGACTTGGGGACAGCTTGGTTCCCTGGACGGTGTCTTGGGGACAGCTTGGTTCCCTGGACGGTGTCTTCCTTGCCTGACACCCCACCCTTCTGAGAGTGCCTTCGTTTTTTCATCTATGTCAGGATCCCTGTGCTCCCCCTGCGAATGAGCTTTAGGAATGCCCTTCCCGGCCAAGAGAAATGGGCAGTTGCATCCTCATCTCAGAGCCCCAAGTGGAATGGGCTTGGTGACTTCATCTGTGAGGATACCAGTGTCTGGTTCCACAGAGTTGAATTGAAAGTGTGAAGGGCCTGACCTAGCCCTTGTGCATCTCAGGACCTAGGGACTTTTGGGTCCCTTCCCCACCTGGGATAGGACACCTGTTGTCCTTGGCCCTTCTATTTCTTTTGACATCCCTGCTTCCTACCCTGGCCTTGTAGGGAACTGGCACCCCTGTAGCTGCAGCCACCCATTCTTTGAGCTCAGGACACAAATATAAGTTTCTCAGGGTCAGGCTTTATTGGATACACTGAAGGCTGAATGGGGCTTTAGGTGCCTTGGGTCCTCTTCAGCCAGGAGACAGCAAACTCCATAAGGGGTTTCCAGGGTTCAGGGCAGGAGAACAGACCTGACCTCCAGTCAACCAGCCCTTCAGGGTGTCTCGGGGGCTCCCCGAGATCTGGGACCTGGTGGGTAGGGTGGGGGTTTGAGGGGGTGCTCCAGGGAGCCTCCGCAGTTCTGGAACTAGGATTGTGACTTTTGGAGAACAGGCTCTGGAGAGGAAGGCCTCTTTGGGACAGGAGGCAGCTTGGGCTTCAGGGAAGCAGTGGCCTGTTTTGGTGCCTGAGGTGGAGGCCCCGAACACCAGGTGGATCTTGGAGATGGGAGGCCTGCAGACCTGTGGCTCCCGGCCTGCGAGGGTGTGCCTGGGACTGAATTTGCCTGATTCTGAGCCGCTGGGGCTCTGAGCCGCTGAGCTGCTGGGGTCTGGGCTGCTGGTGCTTGATGCGGAGGAGCCTGAGTGGCCTTGCCCTGAAGCCCTACTTCTTCCCGCCTTTTTTCTGGCAACAGATGCAAGGCCCTGGCCTGGCCCTGAGGCAGGCGGAGGCCAAAGCCGATGCCTATACGGAGTGGCCCAGATTCCTGGCCCTGTGCACAGGGCAGTAGCTGGGGGAATGCAAGCAGCCGGGGTCCAGTCCTGTACTTGGTTTTGGGGCAAGAGGGACCGCGGAGTCGCAGGCACACCAGGCATACGGGATACTCCACAACTGGGGCCTGGCCTGTTTTGCCTAGCCACAGGCGCTGCAGAAGCAGAAGCCGCAGGTCGTGGGCGATGCGGCGGTGGCCCAGGTGGACCACCAGGGCCTGGGCCAGGGCCCCTGGGTCCCTGAACTCTGCAGGGTCCTTCTCGCTTGCCACGCATCCTCCCACCACCCCAGGGGACTTGGTTTCCCTGTACTGAGGCCAGTGCCATGTCTGCTTGTTAGAGTGGACCCCTGGAGAAGGTAGGCTGGGGGAAGTGAGCGTGGAGCTAGGTAGGTCTTGCTGGCAGGAAGGAGTCTGATAACCGGAGCGGGGAGAGTTGTGTGGCTGGGAAGGAGAGGAGGAGCGGGTCAGAGGAGGAGATGGGTAGAGCTGTTGGTTGGATGGGGAGGAGGACTGTGGAAAGGCAATAGTGCCGTAGCTCTGGTGAAAGAAAGTGGGGGAACTTGGGAGGGGAGAGGAGTAGGGGTGTGGAGCAAAGTCAGAATTTGACTCAGAAGAGTAGGAATGGAGGCCAGGACTAGGGGACAGTGGAGAAGGGGAGAAAGGGAGATAGGACTGTGTGGAAGAGGAGAAAGGTGGGTAGGGAGAGAGAGGCTCTAGGGTTAGGGTAGAGGAGTCCACAAGTTGAGGAAGGCCCTGCGGGGGGCGCCCAGGGGGCACTGCGTTCTGTTGCAGCACCTGGTCCTTATTTTGAGGCAACATTGCCTTGAATCCAATAGGGACTGGGGCCACAAGACCAAGGACAGAGACCTAGCAGAATCAGGACAAGGGTCTCTGAGGCTAGTTGTGGCTGAGAATCAAGGAAGCCTTCTGTGTGCAGTGTGGCTCCGGCCTGATGTTGCTGTGGGCATTGGCAGCAGGAGGAGACACGGAGCCCTCTGGCACCGGGCTCTCGAGGTGCTCAGCGGGGAGCCTAGGTTTAAGCTTGGCTTCTCACTTCTTTGCAGTCAGCCATTGACGAGGGATGTATGGGAATGAGAAATCAGAGCTGCCTTTTGGGAACTGAGGGGCAGCGGTGACTCTCTGGATGGAGCAGAGGAAGACACAGCTCATAGGATCTGCAGAGAAGGAGACAGAGCCCATGATATGGGGTATTGGTCCATTTCTGGCTCTGCATCTGGTGAAAGAAAGTTGCGGGGCCAAGCTTCAGGCTGGACTTACCAAGTCCCTAAGTCTTTGTCCCCTTTAGAGTTGGAAGAACTGACAAAATACTCCCAGGAGGTAAGAAATTGGGAGGAAAAGATGAGGGAGGAGAGAGAGAGAGGGGTGGAGTTGGAGAAGGAGACTTTGGGGATGGGAACTGAGTGGAGGGTATTCTGGTTCTCTTGAGTTCTTACCAATGAGGATTCCTCTGGGCTGTTTCACAAGACACTTCAGCAAAGAGGGGACCTGGGAGAGAGATAAGAGTTATCAAATGGTGAAAGACCAACACACCTTCCTCTGCCTCCAGCATCTGTCACCTTAAACTCACCCAGAATTCTGTCTGAATGTTGCCCTCAGTCCTCCTTCAGACAGGCAGAGGTCTTCTGGTTACAGGGTTTTGTCCTCCTAATCCTGACTCAGAGATTCTGTAAGCATCCTGGTTTCCTGACAATCTGGTTCTCCTGACCGCTGGTCGCCCCTAATGCTGATGTCCTTTAGCTCAGCCTGGCCCTGGCTGAGATGGCTTACCACGCCCAGCAGCAGCAGCACTGGGGCCAGCTGGTAAAAGCCTCTGGGAGACTGGGACTTTGTCTAAGGGGCGGCGTTGCCGCCCCCAATGGGAGCTAGAGGCCCCATTCCCTAGGGATAGTTCTGCCTGGTATCAAATGCCTATGTCACAAAGGTCAGATGCTGACGTCATAGAATCCTCTCCTCAAAACTCTGGGCTCTTCTCTCTCAGAGATCATGCAAAGGCTGACCCCTGACAAAAAGTGTTAAGCAGGCAAAATTTTTTGGTGTACTCAGTTTCCCCTTTACACTCCACCCCCGAAACCCCTCCCTGCCCATATACTTTACCCCTTTCGCCACTTCCTCGATTAATTGTTCTCCCCACCTAGAAACTATCTGATTAATTGTTCTCCCCACCTAGAGACTATCTGGGAGGAGCCCTCCCTTCTACTTTCTATTTTCCTTTGCTTTCTGAGGAGTGGCTCATACTCCATATCTTTCCCCCTCTAGGATCTACTTATTCTATGTTTTAAAAACCATTTCAGGGCTGGGGTTGTGGCTCAGTGACAGAGAATTTGCTTCGCACATGTGAGGCACTGGGTTCAATCTTCAGCACTGCATAAAAACAAACATTTGAAGATATTGTGTACACATGTAACTTTCTCATTTGAAGATATTGTGTACACATATAACTAAAAAAATCATTTAAAAATATTTAATTTACACCTTTATTTAGATGTCATTCACATAGTATCCATCCATTTAACACATGCAATTCAGTGTATTCTAGCATAGTCTCAGGATTTTACAACCATTGTCACAATCTAATTTTAGAACATCTTTATTCCCCACCCCCAAAGAAATCCCATATCCATTAATAGTCACTATTTCTTACTGTCCTCAGCTCCTGGAAGCCCCAAAGCTACTTTCTGTTCCTATGGATTTGCATATTCAAGATATTTTATATAAGCAAACTTTTCTGTCTGGCTTCTTTCGTTTAGCATGTTTGAAAGGTTTGTTTATGTTGTATTATGTGTAATTACTTTACTTCTTTTATTGTCAAATAATATTTCTTTGAATGGATAGATCATGCATTGTTTGTATACATTTGTTGTTTCTACTCTAGCAATCACAAATAATACTGCTATAAATATTCTTGTAAAAATTTTGTGTGGACAGGTATTTTTGTTTTTTTGAGTCTAAAACTAGAAACAAAATGACTGAGTCAGATGGTGAAGCTGTATTTAACATTATGAGGAAAGGTACCTAACCATCTTCCAAAATGACTGTGATATTTTTTGATCCCACTAGCAAAGTATGAATGATCTAATATCAACATACATTATTGCCTGTCCTTTTGATTTTAGCAATCCAAGTGGGTGTGAAGTGGTATCATATTATGGTTTTGATTTGCATTTTCCTAATGACTAATCTTATCTTTTCATGTGCTTCTGGGCTATTTATATTCAAATATTTTGCTTATTTTTAGGTTTTTTTTTGTCCTATTGTTGAATTATAAGGTTCTTCTATATTCTGTATACAGGTCCCTAATCGGATATACAATTTACAATTATTTTTTCTAATTCTGTGAGTCCTTTTTACTTTCTTAATGGGTTATCTTTTTACTTTCTCATTTGATGAACATTTTTTTAAGATTTTGGTTTATTATTTTTATATTTTGTGGTACCTGAAATTAAACCCAGAAATTAAATATGCTAGGCAAGCACTCTACCACTGAATCACCCAGCCACTCACAAAAGTTTTTAAATTTGATGAAGTCTAATTTATCTATTTTGTTTTTTGTTCTTGCCATTGGGGTCTTATCTAAGAAACTATCACTTAACCCAAGGTTAAGTGATTTGCTTTGTTTTCTTCTAAGCTTTTTATAATTTTAGCTCTCACATTTAGGTCTTGACAAAGATTCTTTGATTGGCCAAATTTTAGTCAGGCTTCTGAATCTTCTAGTCTCATCTGTTCACTTCCTTATAAAATCCAACTTTAGCAAAGAACCTTGCTAAATTAGTTTAGCTAGACTCTCTCCTCTCCTTGATATCTGATCATCCTGAATATTTGGTCACTTGAATATCTCCTCACCTTCCATCATACTCCAGGTGATGTCTAGTCATCCTGGCCGGTCTTCATCAAGAATCCTGTTAGGATGGTTTAGCCAGAATTCCCTATTCCTGATGTTTCCTCTTAGTAATTTTCCCTCTGCTTACCCCACACTGTGCTTTGATTAAAAATCACCACTTGCTGTATTGGAAGTTGAGTCCCAAATACTTTCTCCACTGCAAGTCCTCATTACAATGGTGTCTATACCTGTAACAGTGGTCCTGATTAAAGTCTTCCTTTCTGTGTTTTAACAGTATCATTGAATAATTTTTTTCTGTAACAGTCTATGACCCATTTGAATTAATTGCTTTATATAATGAAAGGTAGGGGTCCAACTTCATTCTTTTGCAAGTGGATATTCAGTTGTTCAAACACTATTTGTTGAAAATATTATTCTCTCCCCATTGAATGTCTTGGTATACTTGTCAAATATCAGTTGACTATTAAATTAGTTTCTTGGTGTACCTGTACCAATTTACTTGATATTCAGTGGCTTAAACAACAAATTCATTATTTTTCAATTCTGTAGATTATAAGTCTAACATGGGTCTCATTGGGCTAAAATTGCAATGGCGGGTCTGCATTCCATTCTGGCAGCTCTAAGGGAGAATCCATTTTCTTGTCTGCTATGGCTTCTAGAGTTTGCCCATTGCAATGGTTTATATAAATATGTAAAAGTATGTCCTCCAAAGGTTCATGTGCTGGAATCTTGGCTCCCAGTTTGGCAGTATTGAGGTGGTAAAACTTTTAAGAGGTGGGACCTCTTAAAAAGGTAATTAAGTCATAGGGGAAAGGGATTCATACTGGTCTTGTGGAGTGAGTTAGTTCTTACCAGAGTAGGTTGTCATAAAAAGACTAAGCTTGACCCCTGAATTTCTGTAGGCTTCCTGTCTTACCGTGTATTTTCTTCTGCATGTGTTTTTACCATTATGATTTTATCTTCCATGTCCTTACCAGACACCAAGCGGATGGGATCACCCAATCTTGGACTTACAGCCTCCAAAACTGGGAGCTCAATATTCCTCTTTTCTCTATGAGGTATCCAGATTCAGGTATTTTGTTATTGCCACAGAAAGTGAACTAAGACACCCACATTCCTTGATTTGTGGTTCCCCTCTCACATCTTCAAAGCCAGCACTATATCTCTATGTTTGTTCTTTTATAGTCACCTCTTCCTCTAACTCAAACTCTTCTGCCTCTCTCTTCAACATTTAAGGATACTTGTAATTACAATGGGCAAAGCCAGATTATGAGGGATAATTTTGTGTGTATGTATGTATGTGTGGTATTGGGAATTGAATCCAGGGGTGCTTTACCACTGAGCTATCACCAGCTCTTTTTATTTTTATTTTGAGAAAGGGTCTTGCTAAGATGCTGAGGCTGGCCTCAAACTTGAGACACTCTTGCCTCAACCTCCCAAGTTGCTGGGATTACAGGCATGGGCCACTGGCATAGCAGAAGGATAAGCTCTTATAAGTCAGTTTATTATCAACCCTAATTTTTCCTTCCCACATAACCAAATATATTCACAGGTTCTAGGGATAAAAACTTGGAACTTTTTGGGTGGTAGTGGTGGGGCTATTATTCTGCTTAAATCTAGGGGTTTATTTCTGGACTCTCAATTAAATTTCACTGATCCTTTTTGTGGTACTGGACACTGAACCCAAGATCTCAAACATGTAAGGCAAGCACTCTACCACTAAATTACTTGGCCCTTTTTAAATTTTCATTTTGAGACAGGGTCTTGCTGAATTGCCCAATCTGGCCTGGAATGTGAGTCTTCTGCTTCAACCTCCAGAATAGCTAGGATTACAAGCATGTGTCACAGAACCTTGCTCTATCGATCTTTGTGTCTGTCTTTAAGCCAGTATTTCACTGTCTTAATTCCTGTAGCTTTGTGGTAGGTTTTGAAATTGGGAAATGTGAGTCTTCTAACTTTGCTCTTTTTTTCCAGATTGTTTTATCTATTATGGATCCCTTGCATTTCCATAATAATTTAAGAATCAACACATCAATTTACACACACACACACACACACACACACACACACACACACACACACGAAACAAAAAACTAACAAAAACCAGCTGGGATCTTGGTAGCTATACAATGAATCTGTATATTTCTTTGGGGAATATTGCTATAAGAACAATGTTAATTGTTTTAATTTGTGAATATGAGATGTCTTTCCATTTTTTTACATCTTTAATTTCTTTTGATGTTTTATAGTTTTCAGTGTACAGATCTTGAACTTTTGTTAAATTTTTTTCTAAGTATGCTATTATTATTATTTTTAAAATATTTGTTTCTTTAGTTTTAGGTGGACACAGTATCTTTATTTTACATTTATGTGGTGCTGAGAATTGAACCCACTGCCTCACACATGCTAGGTGAGCGCACTACCACTTGAGCCACATCCCCAGCCCATAAGTATGCTATTATTGTTGTTATTATTTTCTTTCATTTTTTTGGGGGTGGGTAGGTACCAGGGATTGAACTCAGGGCACTCAGCCACTGAACCCCATCCCCAGCCTATTTTGTATTTCATCTTGCCGTTGCTCAGGCTGGCTTTGAACTCACAATCCTCCTGTCTCAGTCTCCCGAGCTGCTGGGATTACAGGCACCACCATGTCCAGCTATTATTTTCTTTTTACATTATTATAAGTGAAATAATTTTCTTAATTTCATGTTTTGGATTGTTTATTGATAGCATGTAGAAATATAATTTATTTTTGTATATTGATTTTGTATTGCTGATCTTGTTTATTAGTTTGAATGATTTTTAAAATAGATTCCTTGTGGTTTTATAGATATAGAACCATGTTATCTGTGAAAATTGCTGAAAGATTGAAGGGTTAATGTCATTAATAAAAATTCTTTTTTTTTTTTTTTTTTTTGGTACTGGGGATCGAACCTAAGGGTACTTAAGCACTGAACCATATCCCTAGCCCTTTTTTAGGGTCTCACTGAATTGCTTAGTGCCTTGCTAGGTTATTGAGGCTGGCTTTGAACTTGTGATCCTCCTGCCTCAGCCTCCCAA